CGCGGGGGGGCGGCGGGGGTCTGCCCCGGCTCCAGACCCGCTGGCAGCCCCTGTCCGCGGCCCCCAGCGGCGGGCGCTCCACCAGCTGGAGGAAGTCCCGGTACCAGACCTTGCGGCCGGGGGGCCCGGCGGCGAGCTGGGGGTCTCCGGCCGGCGCCTTGCCCGCTGCCTGCCGGGCCCCGATCACCTCCAGGGAGAGCCGCAGCAGGGGCTGCGTGAAGCCGTGCTCGGTGGCGTGGCAGAGGTAGAGGCCGGCGTCGGCGCGCTGCACGCTGCGCAGCAGGATGCCCCGCTCCGTCCGCACCACCCGCTCGTCCGTCGGCACCTGCGGCACCCACGGGGGACGGGCGGTCGGCTCGGCGGGACGTGGCACGGCATCGTCCCGCCGGTGGCACCCGCCTGGGGAGAGCCTACCTCTCGCTGGGGGTCATCCGGGGTGCGCTGGTACGTCCAGAGGACGCGGGCTTGCAGGGATTTGGGGATGCACTCCAGGAAGGCGGTGCTGCCCTCCACCCCGTAGAGCTGCTTCTGGGGCACGCTGCCCCGCCGGGGGTCTGGGGGGACACGGCCCAGCCGTCAGCGCCCTGCCCTGGCAGGGCTGATGCCCCCCGGGCCGGGTCCCGGCTCACCTTCGGAGCAGAGCACGTTGGGGTCACCGTTGCGGACGTCCTGCCGACGGAAACGCCTGCGGGAAGGCGGCGGGGCAGCAGGGGCCGCGGCAGCACAGCCTGCGCCCCTCACCGTGGCCTCAGAGCAGGCCGGTCACCCCAGCACCGCGCCCCGGCACGTCACCTACCTCTTGGTGTTGGGCACGTAGCGGGTGCAGGCAGTGCCATCCCAGGCACAGTACGGGTCCCGGGCCAGGCAGCATTCGGCACAGGCTTTGCCGTAGGCACCGCAGCGGTGCAGGGGCAGCTGGGCCAGTGCCGTGGCCGAGCCGGCATAGAGCTGTTGCTGGGGGTACGGTTGAGAGCGGAGCTGAGCACCCCGGTGCCGCAGCACAGGGCCAGGCAGAGCCATGGCTGGACACAGGGACCCACCCGGGGTCCCCCCTTACCCGCTTGGAGGAGAGCTGCAGGCTGGTGATGGGGGAGGCATCCTGCAGGCAGAGTGCAGGCAGGAGTTAGGGCAGGCGGGGGAACCCAGGCATCCAGGCTGCCGGCTCCCACATCCTGGCAGGTGGAGTGCCCCGGCACAACCTGGACCACGGGCAGTACAAAGGGGTGCCAGGGAGGTCTGACTGGGGGGGTGTGGAGCCCCCCCCCTCACCTGGAAGACCTGTAGCTCCTCCAGCAGCAGCGGCTCCATGCGGTGCCAGCTCTCCTTGGGCACCGAGACCACCTTCAGCACCGTGCCCACGTCTGCAGACAAGGAGGGGTGAGGCTGGGGGTCCCAGCCCTGGCATCCCCCAGCTCTCCCTCCCTGCCCCAGCCTCGAGATCACCGCATGCCTGTGCCGATGAAAAGGACATCGTAGTGGCCATCAGTGGCTGTGACGCGGTCCACGGCGATGCGGGTGAAGGTGTAGGGCACAGCGGCTTGCAGGAAGAGGGGGCGCTGGCCATGGGGCAGCACCGGGTTGTACATCAGCGGGTGGTGCCGGGCAAACTGGATCACCTCGTCTGGGAAGTCCTTGGTGGAGCCGAAGGTGCCGAAGGTTTTGCTGGGGCACTGCGGGGAGGTGGTGCTGGCTGAACAGGGTCTCGGTCCTGACCCCCATCCTGGGTACTGGCATCCCCCGGCAGCACCAGCCGGGACGCCCCTGTGCCACGTACCATGCCCGGGCGGGGGTATGGCACGCGCCCCTGGTACGACACCCACTGGTAGTTGGGACCCTCCTTGTGCGCAAAGGGGCCCAGAAAAGCCCGGCGGATGTCGGCCATGGTGTAGACGCAGACGGCCGAACCCTGGAAAACAGAGCTGGTGGAAGAGAGAGGGGGCCATGTGAGGGGTGAGGGGGGCACCACTGGGCACGGGGTGGGGCGGTGGGGAGGGAGCTCAACCTGGAGGTGGAGAAGACAGCGTAGACCAGGGGGTTGCGCTTGTCCCTTGTCTGCAGCAGGAAGACGTCCCCTGCAAGCCAGGAGGGCGTCAACACTGCCCCGACGTGCCAAGGCCGCCCATGGGCACCCTGGGGGGCCGCCCCCACCCCCCCACTCACGGAGCTCATCGAAGTGGGTTTCTGCCCCGTCGGGTCCCGGCACAGCGCAGATGAGCCGAGCCTTCAGGAAGGTCGTCCACTTGTTCACCAGGCTGCGCTGCCCACCCACGTCGTTCTGCCGGAAGAGGGAGGGTACCGACGTCAGCAGCGGCGGGTGGCACCCACGGGCACCCCCGGCCACCCAGCCCACCCGCCTGCAGATGCTCTCACCCGGCAGATCTGGCCGATGCGGGCAAAGCTGGTCTTGCCCAGCCCCTGCTGCCGCTCCACCGCCGTCTCACGGAAGAAGAAGTAGATCTTGTCATCGTCGGGGTCCTCGCTCTCCGGCACCCAAAAAACGGCCACGAACTTGGGCTCTGGGGGCAGAGGGGTGCCGCCTCCAGTGCCTCTGCTAGCTCTGCTCCCCGGGGACCCTGGGGCACCCGCCGGGGTCCCAGGAGGGCGCAGCCCCTCCCCTGCCCAGCTGCAGGGCAGAGGCAGAGCGAGGGTGGGACCCCACCAGGCACTGGGGGTCTGCGGGGGGCACAGGCACCCCTCAAATCACCCTCCGCAGGCAGCGGAGGACAGGGTGCGGCTGAGCCTGGAGGACTCGTTGCCCCGATGCCTCCAGGGAGCAGCGATGCCGCGCCGGGGTGCCGGCGGCCCCACTGCCCTCCCGCTGCCCGGCACTGACCGTTGAGCCAGCGGGAGTCATGCTGCTCGGTGCGGATGGAGGGACGCCGGCCCAGGCTGCGGAAGATGGTAAAGTCACGGCCCATCAGATCGGTGGCCACCCCGGAGTAGAGCTCCTCGCCTGGCAGGCACCGAGGGAAGCGTTACGGGGGACCCCCCGGCAACCCCCTGCCGCACTGTCCCCAGCGCCAGGCTCAGATCTCTCTTACCCACGAGGACGGAGGCGGCTGCGTGCCGGGGGTCATAGGGGCTCTTCCCCTTGCCGTCCTCGGTGCGCTGGGGGTCCAGCTTGAAGATGGGCTCCTGGAGGGTGGTAAGGACAGGAGGTGGGCGGGCGGCAGCAGCTGGGGGCCGCAGCAGTGCTTTGGCAGGGGGGAGCTCAACCTCCGCGTGCTGGCCAGCCTCCACGAAGGCGCAGACAGGGTGGAAGGCGCCGGTGCCGCAGGCATACAGGTGGGTCCGGTTGTAGGGGTGTAGGATCTTCACGAAGTTCATGCACTCGGCCTGGGGGTGGAGGGCACAGGGAGGCGGTGGTGGGGCGGCCCCCCGACACCCCCCCGGCACCTCTCGGCACCCCCCCCGGCACTCACGGTGATGTCCTTGCCAGCCCAGTTGCACTCCTCCCTCCACTCCACCGGTGCCGGCCAGTAGATCTGTGGGGGGAGAGGGGGATGCTCACAGCCCTCGGGTGTGCCAGGGGCCGCCCGGCAGCTGTGGCCCCCCATTACCTTCCTGTCCCGCTGGCTGATGTCATCCAGGGCCAGGGAGAGGAGGTGGTTCTGGGCGCCGGCGAAGAGGCGGCCGCGTTCCTCGTCCAGCAGCAGGGCCTCGTAGCAGCACGAGCGCTCCAGTGCGAAGAGGCGCAGCCCGTGGCGAGCCCGCAGCTCTGCCGGGACCCGCCAGCACCGCTCAGCCTGGCCTCGCCATGGCACCCGCTGCTGCCCGGCACGCTCCCCTGACCTGGACACACGCCCTGGGGGGATCTGGGTCTGGCCATGGCCCCCCCCCCCCCCGCCCCGCCATGCCACA